ATCTGGTTAAGAAAACACTGTGCTTTAATTCACTTCTCTGACATCCAGGGATTTCCCCAGATAATCAGATCTCAGTTTTACAGTGTTGCTGGAATGGGTGCTAATATTTAGCCACCTCCTTGCCTGTTTATCTCCTTCAAATATTGCTCTCTGAGCAGGACTGCGGCCTCTGGATTTTGTTAGCTGAGATCCACAGAAAAACCTCATCCCCAGCAGCCTATGCTTCTCGAACTCCTTACATAGTATCTTCATTAAAACGCCAATCACAGGGTGCTGCTAAGAGCCAGATCAGGCTGGGATCAGCTTTTTAGGCCATGTTCACTTTTGGACTTTTTGCCTGAGAAATTCCACAGGTTCACATGCTTGATTATGCAATTATTTTCTTGAATTCATTTTAAAAACTGCCCCTATGCTGAGTTCACAACCCCAAAGCTGATCTTCCTTGTGATTTAATCTCTGATAGTAAAAGGTTAAGAAAGAGAAATCTGGAATTTTCTCTTAAAAAGGTTCATTGGTAATGAAAAATCCCTGGTATTTTGTGTTTTGCTTTGGGAAGACCAGCAGAGGGGGCCTAAGCCAGAGAGCAAACCCCGTCCCAGATTTGTGCTGGAGTTGTGAACAATATCAGTGTAAAAAACCCAAAACAGCCCCACTTTATTTTACTTCTCTATTAAAACCAAAGCAGAATACACATGTGAAAAGGAAGGGACCGTAGCTGTCTTAGGAAAACTGCACTATTAAGAGGCTGTCCAAAAAGTAGTACTAATTATTAAGGAAAAAAAATTGTCAATTAGGAAAGAAATTTTCATTATATGACTCTGTCATTGGCTAAGAGCTACTAAAGGACTGATTCCTTGAAGTATCTTTTTTTGGAAGACATTCCCTCCACAAACTACTTAAGTTACCTCTGTGTCAGGAGATGGAGGAAGAAAACTTCTTTCACTGCAGGATTTAGAGCAGGCTCCCAACTTATGTTCCATGGCCACCCCAGGGAACTCCATGGTGGAGTTTTTTTTTCTGCTGACTATTGCAGGTGGCCAGTGAGGCAAAACTGAAGAGTCAGCCTGTTGTAAATACTCCTTTTCCTCCTCCTGCCCCTCACTCACAATATTCAATGTTGCAAGAGAGAAAGTTTTCCCTGTTCCCTTTGAGGAATCCTTTCAGTTCTAGTCCACTGAGAGAGCCTACATGGAAAAAAAACACCCTTCTGGAGTCATCACAGCAGATCTAAATGGAATAAATACTGTATATATACACATATGTAGAGATATATACATATATAAAATTCCAGATGTGTAAAGGGAATGCAAACCTTTCCATTAAATTTGGTGACCTTGGAAAAACCATCCCAAGCTGATAGACACAAAACAGGGACCTAAGAATCAGAGTGTAAATAACAATGATATTCTCTGCCTCTTCACCATGAGAAGATGGTTTGTTCTGTAGCAAGAAAGCAAGAAGGCTGTTCCTTTAAAGCAAAACAGAATTAACAACTTCTATCTTGACTTCTTCTAATGTTTCTTTTGAATAATCATAAAGAATTATGTGGAAGAAATGTCACACAAACAAAATGTTATTATCATCAAATGGGATTTTCTTCAATTTACCTGAACATGTTCTCTATTTCTGTTATTTAAATAAACACAGGTGATGTAGTCACACCCCTAATGTAAACTAAAAAAAAGTATGTTATGAAAAGGAAATGGATAATATGACTCAAGGACTCTGGGTTCCATCACTGTCCCTTCATAATAAACAAATCTTATCTTCATATAGATGGCCCATCTCCTGCAAACAAGGCTGAAGTTTTTCTGGATTTCTCTTTTTATTATTTCACTGAGTAAAAGTGCTTTTAATGTCAATAAACAGGAAGAGAAGTCAAAATAGAGTGGTCTGGAGGAATGTGCAGGTCTCAGGCAGACCTGACTTGGGTTCACCCTTATGTGAAGGACACATCTGGATCACTTCAGTCACAATAAAATATCCTGTTGGGTCGGGGGGTGGGGGGAGACTTGATGTGCAGGAATTCTTTGGCTGGAGGCAAACGTTGTCCTTTAAAAGTAATGTGCCTTTTTAAAACAAATACAGTTGGTGCAGGTGTCAGTGAATGCTCACACAGCACTTTGCAAACAAAACCCAAAGCCAAGCAGTTTATAATCCAATTGAAAAGTCATGGATGTGAAATTGGGGAGAAGGGCAGGGCCAAGTGGAGCTGCAGGTGGCTGGGATCACTGCAGGGTTTTACTGCTTCAAACACAAATGTCACACCAGGTACAAAGTGGAAAATGGCTCTTGCTTCTTATACTGAGGAAATCCTGCCCAGGGTATGCCACAAAAAGTCACTGACCAACACCGAGGAATCATCCTCTGTGCCAGAAGATGCTCCTATTTTTGTCCTGGCTGACTGAATAAGTATTGTCTTACCCCTGTGTATTTTATATTGCTATTTTGTATTTTTTCTCTGATGCTCTGTTGTTATAAGACATTTTTCTATCTATTTTTGTTTTTGTTTTTTTTTTTTTTTTTTTGGGGGGACCAAACAGGGGGGGGGAGGAGGGGGAGTTTTCTGTCTATTTTTATTTTTTTTTTCTTTCTGAGGGAGCAAACAGTGAGGTGTGAGGAGGGGAGAGGAGGAGAGAATGATTTACTCACAGTTACACTTCACTTATCTAAACAGCTGCAAAGACTTGTGTAACCACCTTTGCTCCGTCTTTGCTAGCAAGTAAAGCAATCTTTGAGCTTTCTAGTACTGAGATCAGCTGGACTGACCTGGACTGTGTGTGTAGCTGATGTCCCTCAGACATGCCCCACATTCCTAGGGACAGTGCTTGTGTGCAAAGCCACACCAGGAACCTCAGAAAGAGATTGAAAATGTGGATGACCATATGCCAGCGTACAACTCCACACCCTGGCCCTGTTTGACTGACTGGTACAGATGCAGCTTACTCTGGCAAAAAAAAGTGCAATGTCTCTAGTTTACCATCTACTGCTTGGGAACAGGCTGTATTGAACGATAAAACAGTGGCTCACAGCTGTATTTACTGTTTTACACACGGATAGAAGACACAGTATTTCATCTTGTCCTAATTGTTCAGCCTGGAGAAGCAAAGGCTTCAGGGAGTCCTTAGGGAACCTTCCAGTGCCTAAAGAGGCTCCAAGAGAGCTGGAGAGGAACTTTGGACAAGGGCCTGGAGTGACAGGGTAGAAGGGAATGGCTTTAAACTGACTGAGGTTAGATTAGAATTTAGGAAGGAATTCTTCCCTGTGAGCGTGGTGAAGCCCTGGCACAGGGTGCCCAGAGAAGGTGTGGCTGCCCCATCCCTGGAAGTCTCCCAAGCTAGGCTGGATGGGGCTTGGAGAAACCTGGGATAGTGAAAGGTGTCCCTGCCCATGGCAGAGGGGTTGGAACTGGGTGATATTTAAAGTCCTTTCCAACCCAAACCATTCTATGATTCTATGATAATTAGAATTAGACTTCAAGTTTTAAACTGATGGGAGCTCACACACAAAAGTTTCACTAAGAAAAGTGAAATGAAATGGATTCAAGACATAAGCAAAATTAAGGAATGATTTGAAGGAAGAAAAGATGGGAGTTATTTTCTTCAAGTCTCTAAGTTGCCTGAGAAAGGCAGCAGGCAGAAGGGGCTATGTGTGAAAAAACATGAAGGTGGAACAACATTCTGCTAAAAGCTGAAATGAGAGGCAATTAGGGGAGATAGGAATGCAGAGGCTTAAGTGCTGAAAACCTCAGAGACTTGAACTCAGAAAGGTAACTTGGATGCAGAAAACAGAGGAGCTTGTGCTGTTTGTAAGCAAGAGGAAAAATTTCATTGATGTACTGTCAGCAGAGTTGTTCCTTGAATCAACATCAGATCACAATGATTGCCTCATTTAAAGCTCAAATGGATGATTCTTACCTGGGATACAGTTTTAGGTTTTCAGTAAATGCCATTACAAAAGAGATGACTCTTTCTGAAATAGTAATTTGTGGTTAAACAAGGTATAAAATAAAATCAATAGAGGGAAAGTACACATCCATTGTCTGATCAGACAGATGTATGTAAGAAGTATTTTTGGCACTCTGTTACATTTACATGGGACTGTCTTTTCCTGGATGTATGTTTGTTTGTCTCCTCTTCAGGCAACACTAAACCATACAGCACAGATCACATTCTGAAGCAGATAGGATGGAGACATGGCCTTACTTCACTTGCATTCATTTTATGACAGATTCTCCCTGAAGTTTTGTTTTCCCAAACAAAGCAAAGAGCTTTTCTGCTTATAAAGTATTCTATTTTGTTCATGGTGAAAGAGAAAATAGAAGAAGAGGGTGCTCTACTTACTGTTGTTCATTTTAGTGTTGTTGTACTCTCATAAATAATTGAGTGAAGTAAGAGTGTTTTTCAAATCTATGTTTTACACAGACACTGAAATAATCTCAGATAATTGCTCTGGAGCTTTATTCACTCTAATGTGGATCAAAGAAATTGCATCACAGCACTGTGGAAAATACTCACACCCATGCTGTCAGAGTATTATTAGCAGGGCTGGCAGCAAGTCATGTGAGGCCCACCTTGTGAACATTCCAAGAGGAAGCACTTCACCCATAAATCTGTGCAAATGTACTCATTTTATGGAATCACAGAATGGCTGGGGTTGGAATGGACATGAATGACCATCTCATTTCAACCCCCTGCCATGGGCAGAGACACCTTCCACCAGACCAAGCTGGTCCAACCTGGCCTGGAGCATTTCCAGAGCAGGGCAGCCACAGCTTCTCTGTGCAACCTCATCATCCTCACAAGGAAGAATTTCTTCTTAATATCTAACCTAACCATGCCCTCTTTCAGTTTAAAACTGTTGCCCCTTGTCCTGTCACTGCAGGTTTTGTAACCTTTGTGTTTCTTAGATGTCCTTTTATATTTTAGCAGGCCACAATAATGTCTCCATGGAGCCTTCTCTTCTCCCAGGTGAGCAACTGCAACTCCCTCAGCCTTTTGCCACAGGAGAGGTGTCCCAGCCCACTGACCATTTTCATGGCCCTCTTCCAACAGGTCCACAGCTTTTTGTCTCAGAAATCCATAGCAAGACACAGACCTTCAGTCTCACCAGTGCAGAGTAGAGGTGGAAAATGTGGGTTGCAAATCATATTGCTGGCTCGTGTCCAATTTTTCACTCATCAGTATCCTCAGGTCTTTCTCTGCAGGACAGCTCTCAGTCCATCCATCCCCCAGTTCTACTTCTACACCAAGTCTCCTCAATACTGTACAGCTGGAGAAAAAAAATGTAGAAAGTGCAATCCAATCAAATCTATATTTCTGCCATATTTCTTTAGAGACAGAAGGCAGCTTATCTTGCTTTTATTTACACTAAGTGTGTCAATATAATTTGTGTAACTCTTGAGAATAAGGCTCGTTATCATATTATGTGCTGAGTTTAATTGACCTGTTATCTGCTGCCACCGACACAGCAGGGGAACCTCAGCAAGGCTCACGGAGGGTGTGGAGCAAGACTGTGACCTCCCACATCAGTAACTGCTTGTGATTTTGTTTTCAGGGCCTTGCACTCCAGCTCTGCATTGGCTCTTGCACTTCCCAGCTGGAGTTAAGCACGCTGTGCAGATATCAGGATGTGTTTGCTGAACTCCAAAGTGCCATCTGCACCAGCCACGGGGCAAAGTGCAGCAGAGCTGTCACTCCTGCTGCTGATGTCCAGGTTGACTTTGGTTGATTTTTAAAAGCTGTTAGCAGTGATGGCCTCTTCAGAAAGTGAAAATTAGCTTCTCATGTGGAAACTAACTTCAGGCACTATAAGGAGAAATTTTTTTTTGGTCTTCCTTGGAAACTAAGATGATGGTCCAAGGGCCCTATTATGATGTGATCCTTTCAGAAATCATAGAATAGACTTGAATAGAAAATTCCTTAAGAATTTTCCCAACAATTCCTTAAGAATTCTCCCTACCTAGCTTGGGAGACTTCCAGGGATGGAGCAGCCACAGTTTCTCTGGATAACCTTAAGATGTACTTACCTATCATTAAGATCATACTAATGAGATGAGTGTATTTACTTTTCATAAGTTATAAAACAGCAAGAATGGACATTACCTTGTAAAGGATGTTTTAAATTTTCCGAGTGCTCTCCTTCTGAAGCTCAGGTTGACACCAAGCAGGAACTTCATGCCTGTCTCAGGGCAGGACATAAAATCTCAATTGATGGAGACTATGCAGTTGTACAAATGCACAAAAATCCCTGACTTAACCTTTTTTTTTTTTTTTTAACAAGAGAAATATATCTTACTCAGTTTTGTTGTAAAAGAAGGGTTGAAGCACAGAGTTAACACAATAAATTCTCACCACTAACCAATCACAAGATGCTGGAACTTTATCACAGGATGCTTGTGAGTTTCTCCTACTCATCTTTTCTGTGCTCAGCCCCAGCTGCTTCATTCCTGTGTCTTTGGGGATAGCTGGGAAAACCCCCACTGGGAATACACTGTGCAGCTGCAGTTTACATCCTTTTCCAGCTTTATGCTGCATGTTTGGGTGTGTTGTGGCACAAAGCTCCACAATTGTGTGCACCCCCTTGCATTTGGCACAAGTAGGAAATGAGACCCAGGAAACAGTTTACTTACTTGCTATTTATTTATATTATTTGTATTTTTAATGATGTTAAGGTTCTATTACACTGTGCATTGCATTAACACAAGATAAATAGTTCTCAACTCAGCAAAACAGGAGAAAACAGAGGCATATAAAGAATAGCTGTTACCTGTAACTGTGTAACTGTGAACATTCATAGTTCTGTGACTTCCTTTGTAACCTTCAGAGGCCTGCTTCTATTCTGAACTACCACAACCACTTAATTTACAATTATTAGTTTGGACATGGTTGATGACTGGGGCTATTTACAGAAACTAAGTATGTTGATGGTGTATTTTTATTTTCTGTCACCTTTCCCTTGTCATATTGGATGGATTGGGTTTGGACAGATTTGCTGAAAAATCAGTAAGAGCCCAAAGGTTCAAAGGTAGACCATGGCTGTGTTTTGCCTCAAAAAGCTGTAATGCAAATTTTATGGTAATTCAGGAGGTGATTCATGAATTCTTTGCTCACTGGTGGAGCTGGAACAGACTGAGCAGCTGCGTGTGGTAAAGAGCCATCCTGTGCTGCATCTGCTGGCAGATCAGGGGCCTGAGCCTGTGAGATTTTGGGAACAGGATGTATGTCCTGTCCTACATAAGCTCTGCATGCATTTGTGTCATATCTGGTGAGGAGCCAGGAATTACTGTGGGTTACCCTTTTCATAGAATCACAGAACAGTTTGGGTTGAAAGAGACCTCAGATCATCTGGTTCCACTCCTGCTGCCGTGGGCAGGGACAGCTTCCACTATCCCAGGTTGCTCCAAGCCCCATCCAACCTGGCCTGGAGCACTGCCAGGGATGGGGCAGCCACAGCTTCTGTGGGCAGCCTGTGCCAGGGGCTCATCACCCTCACAGGGAAGAATTTCTTCCTAATACTAAATCCAAAATCCTACCCTCCTTTAGCTTAAGGCCATTCCTGCTTGTCCTATCACTTTATGTCCTTGTAAAAAGTCCCTATCCAGCCTCTTTTTTGCATCTCTACCTCCTCTTGTGAAATACTCTGGTACATCAAAGCAGTAAGAAGAGAGTTTTTCACCTCTGCACATAAGCACTGATAAATCTGTCATTAAGAACTGTAGATGAGTGACATGGTGACCAGAAATGCTGCAGTCCCTGGTGGTTTTAGTACTTGGGGGTATCCACCACCATGAATTTTGGAGCCCAAGGTCTGAAACATTGGCCAGAGCGGGTACATGTGAGAACTGGGTTCGCATTCGAGGGCAGCATTCCTGCAGGAACCCGGCCGGGAAAGGATGTGACCTGTCACAGGGACTGGGGGTGGCTGCAGCTGGGCTGGAAGCCCTCGGAGAGCTCCAGGGGGGAAAGGAATCACCGGTGTCTCGTAGGGACAACCACGATGTTCTGCAGGAGCACGGGCACTGGTTTTTGCTCTCGGAGCAGCGTTTGCCCTCCGCGCAGCGAAGCCAAGCCCTGGCCGCGCTCCCGCTGCCCGGGACGTGCGGTGGGCAGCGGGGAAAGGTCGGGCAGCCCTGGCTGCCCTGGGGGGCACGGCGAGGAGGCGAAACAAAGCTCAGCGCTCCCAGAAACCGACCTTCACCGCCGGCGGCACGCTCGGCCTCTGCCCCAGGCACCCCGCGCTTATCGCGCAGCCTTGGCGGCCGCGGGGCCGGGCGGGGAGCGCCTCCCGCCGCGGGGGGAGCGCGGCCGGGCCGAGCGGCCGGGGAAGGGAGGGGACGGGGCTGGAAGGGAAGGCAGGCGGGAGGGAGGCGGCGAGGAGGCCGGCGCTGGCTGCGGGCAGCGGGGGCGGCTCCCGATAAAGGGGCGCCGGCGTGCGGGTGGGCGGCGGCGCGGCGGCGATGGCGTGGGGGTGCGCGCTGTGCCTGGCGCTGGCGGGAGGGGCTCTCCTGGCGCTGCTGGTGCAGCTGCTGCGCTGGCTGAGGGCCGACGGGGACCTCACCCTGCTCTGGGCCGAGAGGTGGGGGAAGAAGCCAGGTAATGCCGCCCGCCTGCAGCCCCGGGCAGGGGACCGCGGTGGGAGCGGGCGCGGCGCGCTCGGTAAAGGGGGTGGCGGGGGGCGCGGGGGTGCTGGTGGCATCAGCTGTCCCCTGGGGTTGTCCAAAAACATAAACATACCCCAAAAGTGTACTTTACCTGCCCTTTACCTGCCCTTTACCTGCCCTTTACCTGGAAAAGGCTCGTGGTGCCCCTCGTCCCGGCTCCCAAAAAGCCGCTTCGGGGCACCCGCGATCTCCCGCGGGTCTGGTTCCTTTGGGCCAGAACTGCTTGTTTTGCACAGTTTCTGGGCGGGTTCCCGGTGCTGGCAGGGCCCCACGAGCAGCTGAGCGCAGGGACAGTGCGGGAGGAAGGCTCGGGAAGGGACGAGGGTGCCTGGCCCGTGTGGCCGGGACCAGTGGCTTTGTGTGCTGTTTGGCTGCTGCTCCAGCCTGTTTGTTCTGCGATCTTCAGGCAGATTCTGCGTTCACAGGGCTGTCGGCAGTGTTTACGGCGAAGTAAACGCGAGTATTATTAATGCTGGGGCTAGCAGGGTTTCCTGTTCCGTGGGTTGTGCTCTGAACGGCTCCAGGGAGCAGCCCCGCATGCGATGCTCTTGGGGACTGTCCCTGCATCTCCGAAAGGTGCTGCCATGGTCACCTGGGGGACAAAAGTTCAATGAAACACAGACAGACACTTCCACCTCTTGCTCGTGCTGAGCTTTCTATTCTGTGACTCTCCCTATTTCTGGACCTACAAACCTAGAAATCAAAAACCTAGAAATCATAGGTTTTGTTTGCTTAATAGAGGTTTTTGGTCAGAAAAGGCACAAAGTTGTGAAAATCCCCCCTTAGTGTTTAGCCTACTGGGGTGATTTGTGGCTGCTGTGAGCTCCTGGCTGTGGGTGCTTTAGGTGGAAGTGGCATCCCATGTGGGAATTGGAATGGGCTGTTGGGTTGAGACAGGGAGAAGGGACTGCATGGAATGAAGGTGGACCAGGAGTGGTGGAGGGAATGTTTGAGCTTGTGACCATGATTCCTTAGGGGATAGTGGTGAAGTTTGGTGTGAGGAACAGCTGGAGAGAAGAGGAGGACAAACTTGAGATGTCCTTGTCTCCTGCTCTCAGCAGAAGCTTCCTGCAAACGTGCATCCTTTTCTGTTCTCCGTTAGATGGACTAGCACAAGTAATGAAGCTCCAAAAAATACTGCGTTTAAATCAGTGTGAACAATCTCTTATAGCTGTTTGGGTACTCAGCCCAAATTTTTGTATCAGCTCCATCAGAACATTCCCTTGCAGTAACAAAACTGCAAGAAATCTTAGCGTGTGGACTTTGTAGAGAGCACGGAAAGAATCAGGGCAGAGAAGTGAGATAAATCTTGACTAATACAAACAGAATTGAAGTTTTGTCCTGAGAGTTCTATGTGCAATATACATCAAGATGTAGGAGCCCTCTTGGGTAGACAAATGCCATTTGAGTGTAGCCTTCAGAATTATTGAAGGCCTGGAAACCCTTTAAGTAGTCTAAAAATTCACATGCAAAGACCAGTGTTGGAATTTTATGATGGGGTTGTTTTAACATGTAATACAAGAAGAATCAGGCAAAAATTCATCAACATAAGAGGTCAGCTGCATTTTGGCCACCTCCCCTTTGCCCCCAGCCTCTGTGCTTGTTGTTAAGTAAAATATTTAACTGAAATGGTACCATTTAACAAACCAGGTAGGAAAATAGAAGACACAAACACTAGAAAAGATGTTTCATAAAATAACTTCTCCCTTTTCCTTCTCCCTACATTGTGCATGCAATGTAGGGTGCCTAGGTAAATAATAGGTTGATCCCTTAATTTTTAATTAAAGATGTTATTAGAGCTATCACTCTTACAGTCATTATATTGTGTTATCACTTCTACAACATCATTATGGGTGTTCAAGTTCTTGGAGATGAAGGTGTTTAGTAGAAAGTGGACTGATCTCCTGTGTTTCTTGTGCTATAAACTATAATTACAAATAAAGGCCTTAATAAAATTTGCCTTGGTTCCAATTCAGTGATTCAGTTCTGTAGAGAAATTTGGATTTATTCATTGGCATGTGCTGGATTGCGTCCAATCCTCTGAATATGTGTGTTGTCAGGAGAGAAGGATTTTTGGGTGCTGGATGCCTTTCCTTCTGTTTTGTGTTTTTCTGAGTGCATAGAAGTCACCCTAAACCCTGTGCTTTTCACAGGCAGCTTAATATTATGAAGCTAAGGGGGAACCTTCCATGTATGAAAACCCTGCTCTTAAATTTAGGAATAATGATATGATTCTTTAGGGCTCTGGAGTAGATGTTCTGCTTTAAACTTCACCACTTCTCATCATTTTCCTGAAAGAAATGACATGGCAACATTTGCTATAAGAACTATGAAATGTTGGAACAAACTCTAAGCAGAGCTACAAACCAACTTTTTGGGTTACTTGCAGTGCTAGTCTGTTCAGCCTCTCATTTGTTATGCCTTGTAGCACAGTAGTTAATAGTTAGTAATGGCATAATCTACTTTTATTTTTTAATTTGGCATGGTTAATTTTTAAGCTTATTTCCAGCAACAACAGGACATTTATTCTGGAGCAAAGTTGATGGTTTGGTACTTGTTCTGCACCAGCATTTGAGGTTTCCCATTGTGTTAGCTCTCAGCAGCTCAGTGCTTGGAAACAATCAGCTCTGGGGAATGGGTGGGAAAACTCTCCTTATCTCAGTTAATTATTCTGTTCACAGAACAAGATCCTCAATAACTGCTGAGAAGCTGCCCAAGACAGGTTTGGAACAGGGAAACTAAGTGGTAGGAGGAGGAAGAGGATTTGTTTTCAGTAGCAAGAGGAATGAGTGTGGTAAGCAGGGCTGAAATTACGTCCATGTGTTGTTTTGTTCGTGTAGTGTTTGTCTGCCTGGGTTTTCTGCAGGGAAAAAAATGTTGTAGGGGAGGCAAACTCCCATATTTATTGTATTTAATTCAATAAATATGTTGGAATATGTTGGAATAAAACTGTAGGGAAAGGGTGTGAATAAGCTTTGCAGACAGCAGCCATTTGTTCTAATGATGGACACAGTGCATATTTCTACAACTTCAACAGAATCTCTTTCCACCTCCCTAGTTCATCACCTAGAATACTTTGGGAAATTACTCCTGTTGCTGTTGTTAGTGTTTTTAGAAACAAGAAACTCCAAACAGCCCCAAGCCACAAAAGCCTGGGTTTAGGAGGGATTTTTTAGGGCTGAAATGCAGTCAGCTTAAGAAAAGACAAATAATACTGCCAGCCCCACAAAGTCAGGCTGGGCTCTTGAGTGCTCACTGCTTTTGTCTGAAGGGTGAAGGGTTTTGGTGCTGGTCTCTTTGTGGGGTCTGTGTCATTAAGACTCCAAAAATAGAAATTTGAAACCCAGTGTGGTGTAGAGAGAACCAGGAACTGATTACTGGAGAGAGCAGGAAGTAAAAGCAGTCTCGGCCACAGTGGAAAAGGAGTATTTTTTAATAAATTAAATTAGTGGTTAAATTGCAGTGAGCTCAAAAAAGCTACTCTGAGCCTTTTCAGAGTGGAACTGGCTTTAAGTCTCAGGAACTGCATTTGGCTCTGATGTTTGAATTATGCTGTGAAATCTTTCTTGGTTGGCTGGATGTTGGAATGCACAAACTTGAGAAAGAGAGGGAAGAGCTCCTGTCAGCAGTGCTCTGAGTGAGTCAGATTTTCCCCAAGACTGATACTCACCGTGGCTGATCTTGAGGAACACAGACACGTGTCAGGCAACGGCTGCTTCTGGAAAGTGCTCTGATATTTGTGATCTTTCAGCCCTAAATCGTGTTCTGGAATTAGTTGAGTGATTTTTCAGCCACCTGTGGTATTGGATGATTTTGGATATAGGCTTTTCCCAGTGGCCAGGTGTACCATGGAGTGGGAATAATTGTAGACAAGTGGGAGCAGGCATTATCAGCAGAGCCGTAAACAGAGCAAGATGCTCTTAATTCTACTACAGGTTAAAAAAGCGTGTCAGGGCAGGAGCTGGGGAATCCACATGTGAATTTACACCTTGGGAACTCTGTGTACTGTGCCCTGGCCAGTGCAGGAGCTAACCTGCATCAGATGCTAAACAAAGTGGATGAAAACCCATTTGGGATTTTGTGATTAGCTGTCTTTCTGTTCAGGGAATTTTACTCAGTCAGCAATTACTCTGGAACATTTTTTGGGATGAAACATTATTTGGAAAGACTTGCTTAGGCTTTTGTTCGTATTTGCAATACAGTAACTGTTTCCTGTCAATTCCAAGAATTCTCTTCCCCCTTTTCCTCTGAAAATGTTTTTGATGAGGTTAGTGGAATTGTTATGTGTGGATGGCCTGCAGAAATGCAATCAGATTCCTTCCCTCAGGTAAATAACCCGTGTTTATTCAGATTAGCCTTGGAATAAAGTTCAAATGGCAACAGAACAACTATGAACAATTTCACAACTGCATGTGACTAAAAAATAAAGTCAGGATTTTGTAATACCCCCCCAAAAAGAGCACATTTCTTAGAACCAGCACCAGATTACCTCCCTGCAGTGAGTTAGATGCTTATCCTAGCATTGGCAATGTGTGAACTGCTGTCTTGATTCTTTTGACAGAACATGAACTGCGTGGCAAGGTTGTCTGGGTGACAGGAGCCTCAAGTGGCATTGGAGAAGAATTGGCTTACCAGCTGGCAAAGCTGGGAGCCTTGCTTGCCATCTCTGCCAGAAGGGAGGATGAGCTGCAGAGAGTGAAAAAGAAATGCCTTCGTAAGTACAACCTAGCACTCCATGCGAGCAGTTCCACCCTGGCTGGGCTGGAATTGCCACAGGAACACTAACCCACATATCACCAGAATAAATTTAATGAGGAAAGTCAACTTTATACAGAGCTGGTATCTTCTTTTTGTGAGTGAGAAGCCTTTGTATAGACATGCATTTCAACTTCCTACATAAGCCACTGTTACCTAAAAATCTCATTATCAATTGAAAGTGCTTTTGTAAGATACTAGATTAAGAAATGGAATAAATACTATGGCGAATGGAGGAAACAATCCCAGGGGTATGATCCTGTAAAAACCCAAACCACCTAGCTGCTTGCAGCTAAGAAATATTCTTTCTTCAGGTTTGTGCATGTTACAGGCTGAGAGAAAACTTTGCTCTTCACAAAATGGACTAATAAAAATATTCAGAAAAAGTTGTTCTAAGAATGTGGAAGGAGGATCTCCTGTAATCAAGAGGAAAAAATGTGGAGCAAAATTTTTAACTATTCCAGTTATCTTCCAGTTAGTTCTTAGCCTGATGACTCAGCTTCTTTCCTCCTGTTTCTCTTTTTCCCTTCTGTTTTCTGGCTTGGCAGCAAGAGGAATAGGCAGTTAATTCACACTGATAGACAGAGGGTTTGAACATGATTAACATTATGCATTTTTTCAGACTATTTATCCTCTGTAGCTCAGGATGGAGTATTTT